AATAAAATAAATCGTGGAACGTATTGGGTAAGATATTTTTATCCTTGTTGACTTAGTTTGGTTGATCCGAACTATACAGGATGTCCAAAATTTGGTGTCAAACTCTTCAAACTTTAAAGTACTTTATTTTTCTTATTTTCAATTTGAGCCCCTGTACATTAGTATGTCATTCGATTCAGTATTAAAAAACGAACATTTTTTCCTATTACTACCCTATCAAAATTCCTAACACAATAAAAGTTATTCGCCAAAATCTAATTTCGGCAACAAGTGCATTAACCACTTTAACAAATGACAATCGTGAAAGGCTTAAAAAAACTTGACATGACATAAGTGTCAATAGCCTAGTTTGACATTAGTTCAATTTAGTTGCTTTGGTTTATTATCAATAGCTCAAATTTTTTTGCTCTCAAAAGTATAAAATTTAGTTTCCTCTCATGGAGTACAGCAGAGAGGAGCTTGTTGATATGGTTTTTATATTAGGGGAATCCGAAAAGAACTGTTTATTAGCAAGTCGCATTTATGCACAGCGATATCCGGAACGGAGGCATCCCGACTCAAGAAGCCTACAGAACCTACTGGAGAGGTTTGTACAAACAGGAAGTGTAAAGTATACAAAACCAGTTAGAAATAGACCCGTTCGAAATGAGGAAAATCAATTGTCCGTGCTATTATCTGTTACGGAAAATCCTTCCACTAGTCAAAAAGCAGTCGCTAATACAGTGGGTGTAAGCGAGAGAACCGTTCAACGTATTTTGAAGGGCAACCGTTTCTATGCATACCATATTCAATTTCATCAAGAACTATCCGAAGAAGATTTCGAAAGGCGTGACGTATTTTGCAATTGGGCGCAAGCAAAAATTAGGAAAAATTTTGACTTTTTTGATAAGGTTTTGTTCTCTGATGAGGCCACCTTCCATAAAAACGGTCTTGTCAATCGCCATAATTTCCATTATTACTCCGACCACAATCCAAGGGCTTTTAGGCAGGTGGACCGTTAACATAGATGGTCAATTAATGTGTGGGGGGGAATTATTGGTGAACATGTTATTGGTCCACACTTTTTTGATGGAAATTTAAATGGACCTATGAATCTGAATTTTTTAACAGATCACCTGCCAAATCTATTTCAAAATTTATCAATAGCGGTCAGGGATGCAATGTGGCTGCATCAAGATGGAGCCCCAGCACATTATTTATTAGCTGTCAGAGACCGTCTGAATAGAATCTGGGTGGCCGCCCCGATCGCCCGACCTAACAAAATTAGATTTCTTTTTATGGGGGTACGTCAAGGAAATAGTTTATCACGAAACTCCAACCACACCAGAAAACATGTAGCAAAGAATTATAAACGCATTTCAAAGCATTACACCCGACCTTTTAGGAAGGGTAGCAAGGTCATTCCAAAATCGTATTGATTTGTGTCTCCAAGAAAACGGAAGACATATCGAGAATAGGTTGTAGTAGGTCATCAATTTATAAATGCTTATCTAATAATATTAAATAAAACTTCTTGATAAAACTCACTATTTTCACGATGTGTATAAGTTTTAGGCAGATACTTATTTTAATAGTTATTTACCTAACAAAGGCACTTTCCGCATGTGTTGGGTACAAAATTTTACCTATGAGCTGCTACATCTGCAAAGAAAGGCATTATTGAATTAATGAGTTTGTATTTTTGACAGAAATTGATCAGAAATACCAGTCACTTTACCACACACTATGCAGTAAAGTTACTTTACCGCACACTTCATAGTCTACTTTACCGCATAGTATGATGTAAAGTAACTTTACCTCACACTATGCGGTAAAGTAACTTTACCGCATAGTGTGTGGTGAAGTTCTACTTTCCATCAGCAAATCAGTGCAGTAAAGTGAACTTCCTGGACGCGTGACGCGTGTAGGTAAACATCTCAACAAGTTCCAAGATAATTGTTATTACAAAACATGTTAGGTCAATAATAGTTATTTGTTTCACTAGGCAGAAAAGTACAAGATTTAATGCCGCGGCTGGTGTTTCATAGCCGAGGCTAGGAAACCAGCCGAGGCATTAAATCTACTTTTCTGCCATGTAAAACATATAATTTTTTCTCCGAATGTTTAAATTCACACATGGATATCTTTTTTATATTTATTTCATTCATTATTATTATCCAAATAATTAAATTATTTTGACAATTGTCATTGTCACCATCAATTTCAAATACCAAATTGAGTGAAATTATTACCTGGAAAGTTGTGACACTGGCACTTTTAATGCCTAGGCAGTAAAAGTCCACTTTGACTGCCTAGGCAGTAAAAATACAACTTTAGATCCTGGCAAGTGTCATTAAAAGGCCGCTTTTACTGTCATTCGGAGAAAAATTGTTTTTCAAAGCCCACTATAATTTTTATTTGTTAAACTTGCTATTGCGCTATGTGCCAAAATTAGTTTTTGGCGAATAACTTTTAATGTGTTAGGAATTTTGATAGGGTTGTATTAGGAAAAAATGTTTGTTTTTCAATACTGCATCGAATGACATAGAAATGTCCAGGGGCTCAAATTGAAAATAAAAAAAATAAAGTACTTCAAAGTTTGAAGAGTTTGACACCAAATTTTGGACATCCTGTATAATTCGGATCAACCAAACTAAGTCAACAAGGATAAAAATATCTTACTCAATACGTTCCACGATTTATTTTATTAACAAAGGATGATTTGTAATTTTCATCAATTTTTGAAATCATTGGTGCAAAACATATTTTTTTTATTTTTTATTTTTTTTCTCGTAATGTACGAAACCGATTGCAATAAAACTTTAGGGGCCTGTAGGTATTCGTAGAAGGTATCCAAATATGCGAAAAAATATAGGGCATGCAATTTAAAAAAATATATCATTATGACGTCACACTTTTTTGAGACACTCTGTATAATCAAAACTATTTTCCTAAGATGCGCCACACAGTGCAGGTAACGTCTGCAAAATATAAAAATTGTGAATTAAATAATAAATACGCTATATAAAACCGGAGGTGAGATGCAGGACCCTGTATATATATATATATATATATATATATATATATATATATATATATATATATATATATATATATATATATCTCAAATTCAGAATTAAAAATCGAATTTGAAAGAATAGTCTTTGCAAATTTAAACACTGCTGCGAGACTTGTTTTTTTCTAATATTTATCTAATGGACGTAACATGTTGAACAACAAAAAGAGATAATAACAAACTATCATCAAAATAACCATAATGGCATTACAGAAACTTATAACATCAAACAAAAATACTACTGGCCAAAATTGAGAGATTTCATAACATACCTTATAAATAATTGTGAGATTTGCTTACAAAACAAATACGAAAGACATCCTTACAAAATCGCTCACGAAGGCCCATTACTTTCCGAAAAACCTTTTAAAACCATACACTTGGTTTTTTTTCAATTCTCAAATTGCCAGTTCTTGACAATAATTGATTCATTTTCAAAATATGCACAAGCCTATTTTGTTCCTGATAAGAACGCTATTACCATTCTTAGTAAATTAAGGCATTACTTTTTCCACCACAATACTCCCCAAAAACTAGTCTCTGATCAAGGAAAAGAGTTTCAGAATAACCTTTTCAAGGAATTTTGCCAACTGTTTGGCATTGAAGTTCATTATACGACTCCCGGCAACTCTTCGTCAAATAGTCCAATAGAAAGATTCATTCAACCTTGCTTGAAAAATTAAGAATTCTCAAGATGCAAAATCCTGACGAAACGCCACAAAATCTTATGATTACCGCCATTTTTATTTATAATCAGAGCATACATTCAACAACTGGACACTCACCATTTTCTGTATTATACGGCTCCTTCTTTGAGCAATACAACAAAAAACGAAAAAAGGAATTGTTACCTTTTTACGAACATGTTTATAAAACATCCTACCAAAAACAGCCCGAAAGAACACAAAAACAAAATCAAAACACTGAAGACCCCCCTTCAAGAACAGATCAAATTGTCTATAAGAAGAATCCTCTGAGTAGAAATACAATAAATTCCCAGTATATACCAACAAAGGTTACGAAAACAAACAAAAATAAAGTGGTAAGCATTTCTAAGAAAAAACCAACTACTACTCATATCAGGAAAATTAAGAGATTGAGAAAAAATCTTGTTCCTTTTCAGCCTCTCGATCCTGATCCTGACCCTGCAAACTCAAGTGAACCCTTGCCAGTCCTTTGAGGTTTACAATCTATCCAATAATATCTACTATATTGAGGAAATATCACCCTCCTTAATTATTGATCATTGTCATACAAGATATATACCTTTTAATATTTCTAGCATTAAGTATACTTTATCCAACTCATTTAGCAATATTCTTATTTAAGGCACCATGGTAAACAGGCAAAATAATAATTTCACAAAAATCCAATTTTTCCATGTATCTAAAGCATTAAATAACACTTACCGACACATACTCAAAATAGAATGTTTATGAAATCAACAATAATCGTAAAAAACGCGGGTTATTGAACTTCCTTAGCAGCGGCATCAAATTCATCACAGAAAACATAGACAATGATGACTTATGCCCATACCTATAGTCGAGACTTGAGTCGAACTTGAGTTTTGACCACGGCTTGAGATGTAAACGCCTACTATAAACAAGTCTTGGCCAAGAAAGCTGCAAACTGCACCGGCGTTTCATGAGGCATACTCAAGTGAGGGGGTACCCTACCTTAGCAATGCTTGTGGTGGCCTGGGGCTAGAAAACAGCTGAGTTTCAGTCGATTCGTTGAGACCGTTGGTTATTAACGTCTTTGTTTTTATTTTGTTCAAATTTGAAGTATTTCATTTTGCGTTTTCGGCGAAAATAAAAACTTTTTTTGGGATTTTTGATTCTGTGGAACAAGTGCGTGGAAATTCGTCATCATCATGTAAGTAATAATAATTAATAGTTTAGCAAAACTTTTTTCTTCAAATTTTGAATTATTACCTATATAGGCAGTGGAAAGACACCTTACACGCAGAGTGAAAGGTTGTTGTTGACGTCCCTAGTAGACAAATATAAAAACATTATCGAAAATAAAAGAAAGGATGCCCATACAGTCCAAGAGAAGCAAAAAGCATGGGAGAAAGTTGCTTCGGAGTACAACGCCCAGGCCTCCATGATTAGTGCCAAGCGAACTTCAGCGCAACTTAAAAAACTGTGGAACAATTTAAAACAAAGGTATGTATATATTAACATTTTGTTCTTATTGTTGGACAGAACTATTTCATGGAACAAAAGCTGTATATACCATCTTGGTTCAAATTTGGCTACTTTTTCTAAATTAGAGAAAATACAATTTTGTTTGAGCTCCATATATCTGTTTTTGTAGGAAGAGAAAGGTGAACACACAATTGAAGTATGAACAACTGTTAACTGGCGGAGGACCTGAACCTGCACCTCCGGTGGAAGATCCGGTGATGGAAGCAGTGGATATCGCCGCCCCATATGTGGACGTCACACTGCCATGCACATGGGACTCAACAGGAGTTTTCGAAGCAACGCATGCTGAAGAAATATCTACAGTCTCTATAGGTATGAAAGTGTAACAAAATTCCTTCAACACTGGGCTTGTTTGGGTTTGAAAAAAGGCGGTTTTAGAACGGCTCAAAACAATCGTCCAGTTTATCAATCAACAAAATGACAACGGCTCAGTTATCAGAAATTTAAAATAATAAACTGGGCGATTGTTCTGAACCGTTCTAGAACTAGAAGAGTCATTTTTCAAACCTGAACAAAGCTTTTAATAATTAGACTTGTGCAAATCCTATGCACTTTGGATGTTTTTTGCATGTAAAGATTTACCTGCATTTTTATTTATAGGTAGATTTATCAATAGCTTTGTTTGCGGAGACGATTCGAAACTGACTCTGAACGCTTAAGGTAAGAATCACATCATTAAAATCCATTGAAATGAAACAATATCAATGGCTTTTCATGTTATGAACTTACCTTAGCGTTCAGAATCCGTATGGGACCGTATCTGCGAACAAAGCTATTGACAAAGTTTAATTAATAAATCTGCATTGCAAACAATACAATCAAATAACATCTTTCTCAGGTAGGAATAATTTGTATTTGAAATTGAATTACTTTCGGAAATACTCATATAATAAATAAGGAAGATTCAAGTAGGTTTTAATGATTTCAGGTAATTTATTCCTTTCCAAAAGACATACTTAGAATGGTTTGTTTGCTTTTCAATTAAAACAGTTTGTGCTCATGAGACTTATTTAGAAAATATATTATTTTATATATCTATTACTTTGTATATTTGTCTAATTATATTTTATTCTCAAACATAGAAGTGATCAACGAAACGCCAAATGAGCCTGAACATTTTTCTCTAAGGACCGCCACTATTAGTATGGCTACCCCACGAAAATCAATGCAAACCATAACACAATCGTGTATTGAAACTGGTAAATATTGTCTATACAATAGTATATTGTAATATTAGGAGTAGAAGCTTTACTTTGTTGTGCTGAAGCAGTAGGTTTGCGAGCCGAACGTAGTGAGGCTTGCAAATACTGCTGAAGCACAACAAAGTGCTTCTACTCCGTATGCAACACGCTATTTTTTCTCCAAACGAGTTCAATCGTGAAAGAAAAACAATATTTGTATAAATAAATATTGCTGCCAATAAAGGTGACAGCGATCAATCAAACAAAGTGCGGTTTCTTCATTTTATATTCTAGTTTGGGCCTTATTTTTGTAACTTGAATCAAGATATAGCAACTGACTTAAAAAAAACAAAAATAAAAAAACTTCTCTATGGAAAAACCTAGCAACAAAAATAACGATGTATTGTCAAAAGAAAAAAATTACGATTTAAAATTTTGTAATTCTCTCCACAAAACATTCTCTCTGTAATTCTCGTACTATTTATGGTATCGGAAGCATACAGCAAACTTCACTAGGTCAACATCTTGCAAGTTTTATACAATTTTGGGGCAATTCGTAAGTATTCAGGATTTTCTAATTTCACCCTTAAAGAAACTATGATAGGTACAATGTCTATTACAGAAGCAATATTTCGATGGATTCTGATGAGGAGGGAACAATGGAATGCACTCCACCAGATATTGAGCAATCTGCTCAAAGGGCAATTGAGAATTTAATCCCGACGAAATCAGCAGCTGTTTATGAGGCTGCATATGAGAAATTTAATAAATGGTGTGCTACCAAAAATGTGAAATTATATTCCGAAAATGTTCTATTAGCTTACTTTTCTGAAATGGCTATCCAAGTCAAAATCTCTACATTATGGGCTCAGTACTCTATGGTAAAATCCTTATTGAATATAAAGCATGGGTTGGACATATCCAAATATTTAAAACTCCGTGCATTTCTAAAGAAGAAAAACGAGGGCTATTTAGCCAAAAAGGCGAGGGTATTTACAAGGCAGGAGTTTCAAAAATTCTTGTCGGAGGCTCCCGATGACAAGTATCTGGCAATGAAGGTTAGTTAAGCATAAAATAAATAGTTACATATTGTAATTTATTTTCTATTCAGGTTGTAATGATAATGGGAATTTTGGGTGCTTGCCGCTGTGATGAGTTGTTGAAGATGAAGATTGATGACATAGATGACCTTGGGAAAATTCTTCATATAAAAATTCCCGACACAAAAACAAAAAAAAGTCGGTCTTTCACGGTTGTTGGAGAAGATTTTCTTAATTTGTACCGGAAATATGTGTCTTTACGTGCGAAAGATCTTAACAACCCTCGTTTTTTTTTTCAAGTATGTGGATGGAAAATGTCACCGTTCGTTCATGGGGATACATACCATCGGCGAAGTACCCAAGAAAATCGCTTTATATTTACAATTGCCAAATTGGAAAGAATATACAGGGCATAGTTTGAGGAGAACATCTGCTACATTACTTGTAGATAGTGGACTCGATGTTATCACCCTAAAGACACGGTGGCTGGAAGTCCAGCAGTGTAGCAGAAGGCTACTATGAGGAGTCGATGTCTAGCAAACAAAAAGTTGCTAGAAGGATTCTGGATGTACCCGAAGAGGCGTCCGACAATACCCATATCGATGAAAATAGTTTCCAGCTCTATAGTAGTACAAATACCAAAATCAACGAGGCAGTAACCAGAGCAAGTGTGAACTCCAGTGATGGAATTCAATTTCAGAATACTAGTTCCAACAACTGCACTTTTAATTTTAATCAATAATCTTTAAATAAATAGGTACGCCATGTGAAATAAAATATAGTTTTATGCGAGGCTTAAATATAATAATTTGAAAACTCGACTAGTTTCTTCGATTTTATGATCGAATGGGGTGAGTGAATGGTAGAGCAGCAGTGGAATTACGAGCGGCACTAAAAGTACTTTTACTGCCGCTAGGGTTGCCAAGCATAGAAATTACATTTCTGACATCTCGACAGGTGCTTACATAGTGACGTTTTTTTGACGTTTGGAGAAAAACAATATTGTCCTATTGTGATAATAATTTTGTTGCAGGACAAAAAGGAGTGACTAAATATGTAAGGAAAGAGAGCCAGCTACGGGTGCAGAAAATACAGGATAGCATAGAGCAGCAAAAACAGCTGCACAACATCAGAAAAAAAATTGAACAAGAACAACTACAAACAGCAATTGCAGCCCGCAGGAAAGCCAAGTCAGAAGCTGAACTGGCAGAATTGCAGCTGACATTATTCAAAAGTGAAAATAATTTCCAATAAAATATACTGTAATTTTGATTTTTTACTTTATTAATGGCCGGTTGCACCGACCGTTTTAAGGGAGCATATTTGATGAAGTATAAAAAACTGTAGAAGATAATTTTCAAGGTGAATTGAAAAAGTCCAGAATAACAACCGCTCAGAGGAATAGAGCGAACTATCAAACAGAATCAACAGAACAGTACTACAAAATTTATATATTTATTCCCTTTTTACATGGCACAATAACTCAGTTGCAAGAAAGATTCGTCGAACATAAAGATATTTTGACATCAAATAAATATAAAAAAAGAACATCTATATCATATTATTTTAAAAAAATCTATATTATACGATAGATTTGACCACAGCCCACTTAAACTAACGGGCCGCAAGATTCCTCGTACACCGCGCCTGTGACGTCACAATCTGAGGGTCACGAACGAACTTGGCGATCAGCTGTTTGCATATAATTAGCACAGTTTATACCGTACCGATACAGTTGTACGACTCTCCATATTTTTTGAGGCCATATTCTCCAACCAATAGGAGCATTTTGTCCCATATCTTGCGCATGCGCTCAATGAGTGAACAAATCTCTCAAATTGAAAAAGCAGTTCGGCATATACATGTCTCTTTCCAATCCTGCACGCAAAAAAGAGATAGAGATGGCTTGGGTGAGAACCCGTGAGAAATAACTGTCAAACGAGACACGCAACAGGATTGTATTACAAAAAAAGAAGAGAAGTTTTTTGACTGAAATTATTCAGGAAATTAAAAAGTAACCGGGAAATTCATCAATTAGAAATTCGGCTTTGTTAAGAGTGTTTTGCTTTCCGTGTTATTCGCGATTTTTGTGTACTTGACTGTTTTATCGTTTATATATTGTGTATTATCATGGTTGCTTCCTGTTTTGTCTCTAAAAACAACACTAGAACTAGCCCAGGCTTAGGATATTTTAGTTTCCCGAACGATGAACGACTGTAAGTATTTATATTTACATATTTCAAATTAGCTTTACGCTATACATTCACATAATCTTTGTTTATTATTATATGATCCCGTTATATTCTCAATGTTAATCCACAAAAAATCCTAGTCCGACTCTGTCGAAGGCCCAGGATTCGTTGTTTCTGATCAATAATACGCAAGCGCGAAATATAGGGGCATAGAATTTGGCTTCAAAAAAATCAATGGTTTGTCAACGGAGTTGAACAACTGTATCGGTACGGTATAAACTGTGTAATTAGTATGTAAATACCGAATTTGTGCCGGGTATTTCTTCGATTTTCGATCGAAAAAAATATGTTTTTCTACTACCGTGCGTAAAGTACTCACTTTACGCACTATTTAGAAGACGTGAAATTACACTTCACGCACTAGTGCGTAAAGTAATTTACTTCACACACTAGTGCGTAAAGTAATGTCAATGACAGATGTCAACACTGTCAATGTAATATTTTTCTGGTAAATTACTTCATGCACTAGTGCGTAAAGTGAAAAT